GGGGGACAGCTTGAGGCTCTGTCTCAAAAAAAAAAAAAAAAAAAACCTGTACTTGAACCCAGTGTAAATCAGGTGTATTGGCGAGCCAAAGCCTCAGTTGTTATCTTTATTAACCAAAAGTTTCTGCCTATAAAATGTGCCTTTATTTACTCTTCAAAAAATAGTATTGGAGGCATTGCCAACTATATTATCCACAGCAGTTATAAAAAGTCATAGAGAAACCTGAAATTCCTGTTGGGGACACACTGTCCTCTCTCCCACTGTGACACAAGCAGTCCCCTGGCCCTTCCTGCCAGCAAACTCAGGGCTAATGTGTAGGTCGGTTATAGCAGGTCTGTTACTGTGGATCCCCGACATTTGCATTCTCTCTCTCTCTCTTTTTTTGTGTTAGTTTTCTGTTTCTATTGTATTAACCTCATTATTGATTCTTTTGTGGTAAAGTATTCAAATCCTTTTGAGAAAGAGGCAGGCTATAAAAATAGTCTCTTCGCTGGCATTGGTAAGAAATAGGTAAAGCACAAGTTTAACAGTGGTAAGAGCTCAGGCTGCCGGCGTAGCTTTGGAGTCAGGCTTTAGACCACAGCAGTGCGTGAGTGAGTTCCAACCTCATACTCCCCAACTGTGGCTGTGACCCAGCCATTTAACCTCTCTAACCCTCAGTTTGCTCCTCTGTGAATTGAGGATAATAATTTGGTTACAGTCTTTCTTTGAGGATTAAATGGTATGCTCAGTACATTATAAACGTGATAAAAACACTAAGTTCTAAATCATTGCAAAGTGTGGTTCACATCACTTGGAAACATATAACCAAGCAGATACTCAGTTTTTGTCAGGTGTAGATTGTATTTTCTACTTTACTGGTACTTTTGTACAGCATAAGGAATTGCAAGACCCATGTCACCAGGAGGAACTCTCTGAGGTTTCTTATAGGAGGGTGTCTGAACAGGGGTTGGGAGCCCTACACACTCTGTGCTGAGTGACTGGTGAGCTGAGGCCAAACTGACTCTCCAAGTGGAGTGGCCTTTGAGTTTTTTCATCTGTAATACATACAGTTGGTGTTTAATTATCTATGGCGATGGCAGCAGTGAAAATACAAAATTAGCATACGCTTTCTGCTCTTGGATGACCCTGCACACTTCTATTTGCATTTTTTTGTTGGTGGTGGTGGTTGGTAAGTTTTGAGACAGAGTCTGCTTTGTTGCCCAGGCTGGAGTGCGGTGGTGTGGTCATAGGTTACTGTTACTCTGGGGCCCAGGTGAATGTCCTGCCACAGTTTCCCAAGGAGCTGGAGTATAGCTGCACCACCATGCCCAGCTACTTCTTAAATTTTTTGGTAGAAATGAGGTCTTGCTGTATTGCTCAGGCTCGTCTCCGACTTCTGCCCTCAACTAATCCTCCCGCTTCAGCCTCCCAAAGAGCTGGGATCACGTGTGTGCACCACTGAGCCCAACCTCTGGGTTATCTAACATTTTGAAAAATGTCTTTTGCATGAAATTTATTATATCCTCACTTTGTACCCTCCAACCTTTAATTTTGAATTTTTGAAATCTACAGAAAATAATAGGTCCTTTCCCTGGATTCTTGAATTTGTAAACGATTTGGCACATTTGTCCTCTCTTCTCTCCCCTCTTATCATGTTGGCTGAAGTGTGGGAAGTTGCAGATACGGTGAACCTCGTCCCTACACACCACCCACATGACCACCCCACCATCATCACACTTACAAACCTAACAGCAGTGCTCTAATATCGTGCTCAAATCAATTCCAGGTTGCCCAGTTATCCCAGCTGCACCCCTCCACTCCCTGCCACCCTGTCAAGGTTCAAGGTTCACACATTGTTTGTCTGGCCATCTCTGACATGGAACAGGCCAGCCCCCTCCCCTGTGGTTGCGTGTCCAGGCTAGCCATCTAGGAAGTGGCACTCTGTGGATTTGTCTTACCATCTTGTTCCTCTCTCCCCTGTACTTCTCACAAAATGAATTGGTGCTGGAGGTTTCTTTCTCTTTGTCTCTTTTAAAACAACAAAGCAAGGCGAGATTCTCCTCCTTTCTGTTTTCTGGCTCCCCTTTGGCATGTGGAAGTCCTGAGGTCGGGGAGCCTCACTGTCCCCGTGACACTGGGCGCCGGGAGCCCCGAGGTCGGGGAGCCTCACTGTCCCCGTGACACTGGATGCCAGGAGTCCCGAGGTCGGGGAGCCTCACTGTCCCTGTGACACGAGGTGCCGGGAGCCCCGAGGTCGGGGAGTCTCACTGTCCCTGTGACACTGGGCGCTGGGAGCACTGTGGTGAGCAGAGCAGAGCAGAGGAGGCTGCCCCCTTGGCTCTCACTCCATTCGGGGTGGTTGACCAGTTTGTAATGGAACGTAGGTGGTACCAAGACAGGTGTAAATCGTGATGCAGGGGCCATAGGAGTGCTCTTGTCACTAGGCCATTAATGCAGACTTGCCTGAAGGGTGACTCAAGTACGATCTGGAAGAGAGACAGAGTATAGAGATGAGAGAGAGCACACACTGGAGGGAGGGGCTGAGAGCAGCTGGCTGGCCAGAAAGCCAGCTTGTCCTGAGGCTGGGGTCGCCCAAGGTGCGGGGTTGGGGTTGGGGTGGGGTAGGGCTGGGCAGCACCCTGTGCCCTGGTCACTGAGTGGCTGGACTGGGTGAGAGCCAAGTGGGAGCCAGTGCTGAGAAGGGCCAGGGTCCGTGACCCGCCTCTGGAGCTTGCAGTGTGCTCAGGGGTCCTGCTGCCAGGGCTCTCCCATTGCCATATTCACTCATTTATAAAGCACCATTGTTAGAGTTGATTGGTTAGACTCAGCTCTCAGGGGAAAGAGGATTGAGTCTGGAAGAAAAAAGGAACTCCGGCGTCCTTACAGACCAACTCTTAAAACCTGTCTCCATCTCAGAAACTTCAGCATGGGGCTAGGGGGGTGTGCTGTTTTGAATCGAAGTGCTCGCTTCCCCTTTATTTGGGGAACTATAGCTAGTTTCAGAAAGAGGTGTGGCTGTCCTGTAGAGGTGTGGCTTCATACCTCAACTCAAGAAATGACATACAAGCTGAAGTTCTCAGACCCGCTGGAAGCCTGCGGAAGGCGCAGGGATGGGTGGGAGGCAGCCAGGCGGTGGAGATGAGGAAGAGCTCTGGGGGCTTCTTAGAACAGTGCCTGGCCCCTGTGGTTCCCAGCCCCAAACACACTCCCAAATCATCTCTCCTTCCTCTGAAGTTAACTGAACAGAGGTCCCCAATTTGACAGTGCTTCAGAATTACAGTGGTCACAGGGGGCACCCTGCCCACGCTGAACCCCCAAAGAATTTCCTGGAATGTGCCCAGAGAATCTATTCTTTTCCTGGATCTATCCTTCTCACAAGACACAACAGGTTTGGTTTTGTTATTAATGACAGATTTGACCCACAGGCTACACGGTACAGTAAGAGTCACACCTGATTCGTATGTTCAAAGCTCATCCCGTCAGTCCCCAGAGGGCCGTGGGCAGCTGCTGCCCATCCCGTGTGAACTCAGGCAGGACGTGTGGCTGTGCTGCAGGCCCCAGTCGCCTCACGTGGCAGCTCGTCCTCTGCAGCACCAGCTGGCTTATGGTGGCTGTCATGTTGCCTTTAGTGCCACCCTCTCTCTTGGTTTCCAGGCTCAAATGTCTCACTGGATCTGACCATTGGGATGTTCTACCAGCGTCATTTCTGTCCTACCTGTGTCTGCTCCTCTATTTCCAGTCTTGGTGAAGGTGACACCATCTTCCCAGGCCCTAAGCCATGCTCTGTTGCAGCCAGGTTCTGTATGTTCTAGCTCTTAATTACACCTGCCCTTGAAACCTCAGCCCCTCACTTCACCTTGCCCTCTGCAGATTGAATGTGTCGCTTGTCTTCAGGGGCGGGGCCATTATCTCCCAGCATTCCGTGCGGCAGGGGCCTCCCTCTCTAGTCTGGACACTTGGTCTTCCCTCCCTGCTCCCAGCTTTAGTGTCATAGAATTGGTCCTCCGGAGGGCCCACATCAGTTTGAGGTCACTGTGGTTGCATGTGAAGTTCCCTCTTCCTGGAATTCCTTTACTGACTTTGCAGCCTGGCTGATAGTCCTCTCATTTTGACTCACAGAGCATCTCCTCTTGGATGGCTCCCCTGACCTCCTCTGTTCCATCTTGCCCAAGTTAAATGTCCTATCTTAGGTTCTGTGCATCCCTTGTTATTGACTCACCCCATTGTGCTCTAATTTCACTTCACACATCTTGACCCCAAGAATATGATAGTATTTAGAGCAGCAATTCTGTCTGGTGGACATAAAATTGATACTCAACAAATATTTGTTGAATAAATGAATGAATAGGCAAGATCATTTGTGAACAATGTCTACATTTGAGTTTGTTAATCTATGTGTGATAAGGAATAAAAGTATGTCCTTTTTACTCATCTTTGATGGAGAGATTTTGGTGGCTTGAAGCAAGTTCTGGAAAAGTGAAACAATGTCATTCCTTTTATATCCCAACAGGAAATATGGGATGTATAGAATCAAAAAGGAAAGACAATCTGAATGACGATGGAGTAGATTTGAAGACTCAACCAGTACGTAATACTGACCGAACTATTTATGTGAGAGATCCAACGTCCAATAAACAGCAAAGGCCAGTAAGTCTCAGGGGAGAATCCCACAGCAGGATCAAAGCATGGCTACATAATTTAAGAACTAATTTGTAATATATGCACACAAAACAATCACACTGATCATTGAGGCCTCAAGTAAGTTAGATATGCTTTATAACCTAATTCTTTAAAGAACATGTGAACAGTATAGGGATAACCAGGCCACTGTGCAGTGAGAAGCCCTTGGTCACATGCTCCTGTGTGGAAAGAAGCACTATATTCCTAGTGCAAAGACACCAATTAAAAAAAATATATATATATATGCACACACGTGTATATACTAGAGGTGCCACAAGTGCATACACATTTTAAGCAAGTATTACCTATGTATTACTTTTCAAAGCTTAATTGAATTACAGTAGCAGTGTGTAGTATGATCTTTGCTCAAAAGATGCCATTAATCAGATGAATCCTAGTGTTATCACACAACAGGAATGAATAGGATAGCCTCTTCTCTTAAAATGTATATGCATTTTGGGGGCACTCTCACCAAAAAATAGGTTTGTGTGACTGACAATAGGTAGTAAGATTTAGCACAGTGGTTTGGAAGCTAAAGGAAAGAGGATGCAAGTCAGAAGCTAAAACAGGTGCTAATGTCTTGTGGTGTTTTGTGTTTCATATATTGTACTTTATCTTTTCTTTTCTTTTTTCTCCCCTCCCCTCTCTCCTCTTCTCTCCTCTTTTCTCCTTTAGTCTCCCCTCCTTCCCTCTTCCCTTTCTCTCTTTCTCTTTCTATTTTTTTTTTAAGACAGTTTCTCACTATGTCACCCTTTGTAGAGTGCCATGGCATCACAAATCATGGCAACTTCAAATTCTTGGGCTTAAGCCATTCTCTTGTCTCAGCCTCCCAAAATGCCTAGCAGTTTTTTTTTATTGTAGTTGTCATTGTTATTTGGCAGGCCCAGGGTGGGTTTGAACCTGCCAGCTCTGCCACTGAGCTACAGGTGCCAAGCCTTTCTTTCTATTTTGAAAGACATGGTCTTTTTGCTCTGTTGTCTAGGCTGAATCATAGGTCACTGCAACTTCAAGCTTGCGGACTCAAGCTATCCTCCCACCCACCTCAGCCTCCCAAGTAGCTGGGACTATATACATGCACCACCATGCTTGTCTAAGTTTTAAATTTTTTGTAGAGATGGGACCTTGCTATGGTTACCCAGGCTAGTCTTTGGTCTCCCAAAGTGCTGGAATTACCATGTGTGTGTGTTGTACCATGCCCTACCTCATTTCTTCAGTCAATTCAAAATAGTACAGATCCTAAGTTGTCAGGACCTATTATAGTAAGTTAAAAGATTAAAGATCTAATTCTCCTCCTTGACCTTAGGCAAATATCTGTACTATAAATTTTATATGAGTAATATGCTAGTTGATGCGTTTGGGAATACTTAGCAAAGACAGAATTAACAGTATATTTCATGGAAAGGAGGAAGCTTTAAACAAGTATAACCTTACGTCGACTTTATTTTAGCGCTTACATTCTTTACATATATTTTCTCATGACATATATGTATATCCTCACATAAACAGACTTCTATAAAATTCCTTAGCATTTAAGATGGAACCAGCTTATTGCAGGTTAGCCCAAATGTCTTTATTAAGAATTTCAGTTTCTCTAGTCTGACGTGTTTTTAAATGCCTTTGCATTTTAGATTATGTTCTTGTCATCAAGCCCTCTCCCTGCCCTTCCCCCAACCTGTCCCATTATAGTGAAGGGACAGGTTGGGGAAAGTCACATTGTGGAATCAGAGATGGTCTTCTCCAGAAGTAGAGATGAAGAGTGACTAAGTTATGCTATTAACTTATCATATGTGATATTTCTGGATAAATTAACATTATAATTTTATCTAGAGAAAATTATATACTTAAATGTGTAAGATTATCAATACCTTTAATAATTTAGTAATGAATACATATAAATACAAAATTTTAAAAAACTATTACATAAGTATGTATAGATACAGAACTATATATTATGTAAATATAATTAATAGAAGGTAAAATAAAAGGAATTTGAGTCACAGAGAGTTTTCTTATAGACTTCAGAGTTCTCATGAAAAGGATCTGTTTTCTTCTGGTACCATGTGCTATAGATTTTAGGTGCTTTAAAACCCATTTTTTGGCTGTGTGGGAGGGCTCATGCCTGTAATCTTAGCACTTTGAGAGGCAAAGGCAGGAGGATTGCCCAAGCTCAGGAGTTGGAGACCAACTGAGCAAGTGTCTCTAAAAATAGCATTATGTGGGCACCTGTGGTCCAACTACTTGGGAGGCTAAGGCAAGAGGATCACTTGAGCCCAAGAGACAGAGGTTGCTATGAGCTATGATACCCGAGCACTTTACTGAGGGTGAAAAAGTGAGACTCTGTTTCAAGAATAAATAAATAAATAAACAAATAAACAAAACTCTTGGGGGGGGGGTGTTTCTGTTTCTAAATGATAAATGAAGATGTCCTTTATTTAGAAAAACAAAAGAGGAAAGTACTAACTTACCCACCATTTTTCCCTCTTGCTCAGAGTAAAAAAGATGAAAAGTTAAGTTAGAAAGCAGAAGTAGTAAACAGGCTGGAGATCTTCCAAGCCCCATGGTACCACAGGTACTTTGGTCTGGGCCTTCTGTGGTCACAGAAATTTTTGTTAGTTTGGGCTATTCCACAGCTGTAAATACCACTCCTGGCCCCAACCAGATGTACTCATGAATTGAGGGCAAGGGCGCTGATACAAATTCAACAACACTCTAGAAAGATCCATTTCAAAGAACAATTCAGAGTGACAGAATATGAATGTTTTAACAATGTATTAAAATGTAAGCTCTTTTGATATTTGAAAAATCAACTTGCTGCTTTCAGAATGACTTATTTTTTCACCTTTTTTATAATTTTTTTTTTTTTTTGAGACAGAGCCTCAAGCTGTCCCCCTGGGTAGAGTGCCATGGCATCACAGCTCACAGCAACCTCCAACTCCTGGGCTCAAGCGAGTCTCCTGCCTCCGCCTCCCAAGTAGCTGGGACCACAGGCGCCCGCCACAACGCCCGGCTATTTTTTGGTTGCAGCCGTCATTGTTGTTTGGCGGGTCCAGGCTGGGGATTCGAACCCGCCACCTTAGGTGTACGTGGCTGGCGCCTTAGCCGGTTGAGCTATAGGCGCCAAGCCTTTTTCACCTTTTCATTATTTCCTCCAAATCATATAAAATAGATCACCCCTCCTAATTATGCAAATCTAAATGAGTGAAAAATCAGTATCAAACGTTTGAATAAAGGCCAGGTATGGTGGCTCACGCCTGTAATCCTAGCACTTTGGGAGGCTGAATTGAGTTGACTGCCTGAGTTGACTGCCTCAGGAGTTTGCGATCAACCTGAGCAAGAGTGAGACCCGGTCTCTACTACAAAGAGAAAAACTAGCCTGGTGTTATGGTGGTTGCCTATAGTCTCAGCTACTTGGGAGGCTGAGGCAATAGGATCACTTGAACCCGAGAGTTTGAGGTCTCTGTGAGCTATGTCACCACAGCACTTTACCAAGGGTGACAAAGTGAGACTGTCTCAAAAAAAAAAATAAATAAAAACTTCTTGAAATAAGTATTGAAGGATAGCACACACCCATGTTTCTGATACCACAATAAAGTAATTTTCCTCTGCCCCTGTCACTGAATTAGAGACTTTATGGGCTGACTTTCATCAGAAATCTGTTTCAGTACAAACCATTTTGTTCCCTTTCTGTGAAATCACGTTAATCAAAAGAAAGGGGAGAGTTCAACGCTGTGTGATAGAGGCAGGCCTCTGACAGCACCTCCTCACGAGAGCCCAGAGGCCTCACTTGGCTCTGAGAGAAAGAAATCTGATTTAAAAGGTCACTGGGTGGCCTTTTTGCCACTAGACCCTTCCCAATAATTTACCTCCCTCCCTCAACTAAATAACAGGAGATGCTGGCTATAGAGTCAGGGTCAGCCCAGGAAAGCCTGGGTCAGTTGGGACTTGCTCTCTGCGCCCAGTCCCAGAGCCCTGACTACACGTTTTTAAACAAGCCTTCAAAACCCGGAATTGGGCAGCCCAGGGCTGGGTGGCAACTCCGCCAAGTTACGGTCCCCCCACCATTTCCGTCTGTCACCCTGCTGCACTTGGTGGTTTCCATGACTGCCAGGAGTCCAGCCTTCACTTGTTTCTAGGCGGAAAGAAGAGGAGGGAAAGGGGAGCCTTGGGCAAAGCCTCCTGGAAACGCTTTGCTGATAGAAACACCCCTCCCCCACCTGCCCAAGGGGCTAGACAGTGTGGATGCCAGTCACTGAGCTGGCAGATTGCCACCCCACGTGATGTTCGGCTTCTGTTACCAAGTGAGAGGGGAGTTAGGATGGGTGAGCCTTGCTCACTTATGGCCACCACAGACAAGTGGCAAAAGACCCGTGTCCCTGGGCACGTAGGTGAGAACACAGCTGAACATATTTTTCTCGCTGTACTCCTGTTCTTTCCAGCTTAATAAGTAACAAATCCAAACTTCAGTTGCTGCTGTTAGAAAAATGATGTGCACCATGAACATAGCAAACACTAAACATAAAATGTTTCTTTCTAATAAATATTCTCTTTTAGGTTCCAGAATCTCAGCTCTTACCAGGACAGAGGTTTCAAACTAAAGGTATGTTTTTGGTAGCACCATAGCTAAATGTTTTTCTTTGGAACTGTTAGAGCTTTTATAAAATAGTAGTAGTCCTAGACATTTTTATTTTTATTTTTTATGGGAAAATATATTTACATAGATTCTCATATCGACCATTTTAAGTGTGCAGTTTGGTGGCTTGTACAGCCCTCCCCGCCATCCATCTCCAGAGCTGTTTATCTTCCCACTCTGAAACTCTGAACCTCTTATGCAATAATTCCTCCTTTAGTTCTACCCCAACCCCTGGCAACCACCAGCCTGCTTTTGTCTCTGTGAATTTGGCTGCTCTTGATACCTGACCATTGTGCATGGCATCATTCAGCGTCTGTCCTTCTGTGCCTGGTGTTATTTTCCTTGACATAATATCTATAAGGGTCCTCTATGGCGCACCATGTGTCAGAACTGTATTCCTTTTTAAAGCTGAATAATATTTCTATTTTAAATATGTACAACATTTTTTTACCCATTCATCCGCTGAGGGACATTTGGATTTTTTCTACATTTTGGTTGTTGCCAACAGTGCTGCTGTGAACGTGGGGCTTTTATTTCTTAATCACAGAGTTGAAGTTCCAGGTGTAGTTTAAAGTGACTTTCCATAATAGTACCGTACACGGTGACACAGCACGTGGCCCTGCGCCCCATAGGAGGACACCCATGCCCTGATTCCGGCTGCCCAGCCCTCAGCACCTCATCTGGTCCTTCGTGCCACCTGAGGACTTGATAAAACATTTCTGCTGATGGGTTCTCAAAGGCATCCACCTGTGTTGTTCCTGTTTAGATCCAGAGGAGCACGGAGACATTGTGGTGGCCTTGTACCCCTACGATGGCATCCATCCAGACGACTTGTCATTCAAGAAAGGAGAAAAGATGAAAGTCCTGGAGGAGTAAGTGCCCAGCACACCTGGTACCTGCTCCTCACCCAGCCTGCCGAGTCCTGC